TTTCCAGTGCCTTTTCCAGTGCCTTTTCACGGTTTGTGTGCGCCTGCCAGTGATTTTGCCATGTGACTCACTTTTTTGCTAAAAAGAGATAGCTTATCTTTTTGTTTCAACAAAACTTACCAGAAACACATTTTTGCTGGCAGGGCCACGAAAAAGTGCAAAAGGCACTGGAAAAGGCACTGGAAAAGGCACTGGAAAGGCACTGGAAAGGGACTGGGAACAGACGCGGCACATGGCAACAGCAAGAACAGTAGCTGGAACCGCCCGGCATCACTTGAAAACAACACACGCATGTGCGCCTGTAGGTCTCCGGTCGCCGTCCACACCCAGTACCGTAGATGGACGAAATATTCAAACCCTTTCAACCACGTGGACCCCTTCTACCCCAAAGCTCAATGTTAGAGGTCTTGCAAGAATGTTTCGGCGAATGGACGAAACAAATCAAACCCTGGAAACACAATTTCAATCAAGTTATGTTCAACATTGACCTTTGGGGGTCAGGGGTTGGCGACAGTTATTGATACATGGGTTTGAATATTTGGTCCATCTACTGTAGTAACAAGGGCATTACTACTAGTAGCAAGGGCGCTATTAGGTGGAGGCCATCGCTACTAGTAACAAGAAGCTACTAGTAACAAGGGCATTACTACTAGTAGCAAGGACGCTATTAGGTGGAGGCCATCGGTACTAGTAACAAGAAGCTACTAGTAACAAGGGCATTACTACTAGTAACAATAAGCTACTAGTAACAAAAATTAGTACTAGTAGCAAGGACGCTATTAGGTGGAGGCCATCGGTACTAGTAACAAGAAGCTACTAGTAGCAAGGGCATTACTGCATTACTCATTACTACGGAGAGTGATTTTAAGGGCTTTTTAAAAGTGGGACTTATATGTATTTTTTTTGTTGGCTAGGTGGCTTTGGTGCCTTTTGGTTTCTGTGGCTTTTGTGGCTTCTGGCTTTTGTGGCTTTTGGCTTCTGTGTGGCTTTTGGGTTGTGTGGCTTTTGTGGCTTTTGGCTTTTGTGTGGGGTTTGATGACTTTACTACTTTTTTCTAGTCAAAATCTCTACTTTTGATGCCTTTCCCCTGAACATCTCTACTTAACTGGAGGCCATCGCTACTAGTGATAAGAAGCTACTAGTAACAAGGGCACTACTACTAGTAGCAAGGACGCTATTAGGTGGAGGCCATCACTACGGGTTTCAAGAAGCTACTAGTAACACCTAAGCGACTGAACCATTGGTTGTGATTCTTCCTCCTCCTTTTGTCCGGGGCAAATGTTGCAAGCCAAGAGGCACATGTGTGGTCTTGTAGCAAACATGAAAAAGCATCCCTTCTTTCCGTCACAGTGCCCCTGACCGTGCCTAATGACCAGCCTTAAGAATGCCTCATGACCAGAGCAACCCTTGTGAATGCCTTTCTGCAGTTTTGAATCGGTTGTTTTGAATCGTTTCGGTCGCCATGGAGAGCAACCTTTCAGAGGCGGACAAACACTTCATCGTTTGCACCGCAGCTGTGCTCGCTGTGGGTGTGTTCTTTGCAGGACGCTGGGCGCACAATGCGGGGTCCAGGACTGCACAAAGAAGCTCGGCCAGAGGATCTCCTGCTAAAAACGCTCGTTTCTTTGCCGTGCACAGGGGAGCCGTTTTGGGGAACCTGCTCTAGGCTGTGAGCCCCCGTGCTAAATTGAATGGGCAAGCATGCCAAAGGTACTTGTTCAGGTTTAAAGACGTTTTGCTCTGCGGTATTGTTCACGTAGGATGCGAGGTTCCGGCCATGTGACGGGCCCCTGAAAACAAAGTGAGGAATGCGCAATGGTTGCTTTTGGCGAAGCCCCAAGCAAGTCGATCCGGCAGATGCAAGGTACCTTGAGAACCAAGTTTGCAAGAAGAAGGTCCTTTTTGCGCATCTGTTCTGCACCTTTGTGGCGATGCTCAACACAGGTGGTGTGGTGAGTATTTCATACTTGATGTGGTCCGGGAGCCGTGTTCACTGGATGACCACAACAACTATTTGGCTGGTGCTTATCATGACTTTGCTGGCCATTTTAACCTCCCAGCTGAAAGGAGTGATAAACACTGGCACACTGGACCTAATCTGCTTTGTGACAATGCTCTATGGTGGTATTTTGCAGTCTCCTTGGTCGCTCACAATGGAGAATGTGTATTTGATGGGCTCCCTGTTTTTCATCCTCGCGACAGTTCCAGTCTGCACCTTTACCAAGCACTTTGCTGTGGTGTTCATGGCCCAGACAGGACTTCTGGCCTTGGCTGTGGTGCGCATGGCAACAGAGGAGTCCCCACCACAAGGAGCACGCTTCAGCAGTCCTAAGGTTTTTGTTCTCATGCATGTATGCTTTCTGGCTACTGTGCCATTGCTCTTCTTCTTCGCCAACAATGCTATAAGACAAGGTGTGGAAGCCAGAATCCGTGAGAGTGACAACAAGACTCAACTGGATGCGGCCTCATCCCTTCTCGAGCTGACTTGTGACGCTGTGGTGCAGCTGGATTCCGACTTTCGGGTCATTTCCGAGTCCACTCCGCTGGCCACGATGCTCTTTCGCCGTGCCACGACGTTGAAGGGCACCAAGTTCACCGAGTTGGTGGCACCGTCGGAGAGCGTGCGCGCCGAGGAGCTGCTGAGGGATTGTGGTGGCGAGGTTCGCATGGCGAACGCCTTCCACACGCATTTGGTGGATAGCAATGCCAGTAAGTTCCGGACCGAGGTATTTCAAGTGAAGTATACAAAGTTAAATGGTCAGAAATGCCATGTTCTTGGACTCCGAGACTTTACTGATGTTGAGGCCCTGTCAGGGAGGGCCACCGACGCCATCCAGGGCGGGCCCAGCTCAGCGTCAGTCAGCAGCCCTGAGGCTGGCCTTTCACCGTCCCTTGAGAATGCAGTCAGTGAATCGTGCATGCAAGTTGGTAAGAAGAGTGCCTTTCTCCAGATCAATGTGGAAGAGAATATCCTGGTAGCAGCTTCTGCTCCATATGGTGACCTCGTTGGACTGGCCTTGGGGGAGGTCTTTCCACACCAATTCACCGTTGACATGCTTCGTCGCTTGTGTGCTGAAGCACGGGAATTCTCCCAACCCTTGGGCCAGTTGCCTGATCGAGTAGCATCCTTTGTTGAAATGCCTTTTCTCGGCGGAGAGGGGACTGGGCCCACGGTGGGAATCACCGGGATGACGAAGGTCGTCCGCACACAGTGGGGCCAGCTTCATGCTATTGTGAGCTTTCTTCCACCAGATCCAAGTGTCACAGGTTCGTGCCTCGAACCACGTTTTCGGAACAAACCATGGGCCTTAAAGGCTTCCCTTTAGGACACAGACGCTGACAACAGAATCGAACAAGCATTTTTTAATCAGTTCCTGAGGCTATCGACCATTCAGCATCGAGCACTTGGTATGTCCAATTCTGCATTTTTTGTTGCATTTATTGACCATTCTAACTGTTGTCGGCTTGGACCACAAACCTCTCTTTTTTACTGATGCCCCTGTGCCATGGCAAGATCCAGGGCACCCACACACGTTTGCGCGAAAAGTGTTTGCGAGACAAGCATGGGATGGACAGAGTTTGCGAGACGGTGCGCCGAAAGCGTTACGTTCAGCCCCCAAAATACCATGTGTGGTCTCCCATACACAGACTTGCCAGACTTGCTGAGGTTGGCCAGGCAGCATGACCGTCTGATTGGCACAATACTGGCAGAGGAGGAGGACGCATGGTCGTAGCGACCACGCGAAGGCTGTCGGACATGGTTTTGAATCCTTCTGTTTTAGGGTTTTGAAGTTCTTACGTTCGAAATCTTGAGGGGAGACCAACAACACTTGGTTCATAATTCTTGTTACGCCGGTACGCGCTACAGGTGTGGAATAAACAAAACAAAGCTTGATTTTCTGCCAGGAACAGTGGGCTGAGTGAACTGATTGCAGTGCAGTCTTCACGATTCTTGACGACTTCCAAATTGTGTACTTGTCTCAAGGCAATTGCTTTACAGGAGCTTATTACGGCTCATCGTCAGCACATCGACATGATGGTGGAGCTGATCAAGGAGCCACTGTGCCTTCAGCTTTCTCAACACACACGTAGTGCGTAATTTATGTTGTTTGAGAATGCAAAGTCCGTCAACGTCTGGTGGTTTTTGGACCGGAAAGGGGTTCGACAGATAGGGGTTCGTCCGCGCAGAGGTTCAGACCGGACATGGCAGGCTCTTCTCCGTCGCCCGGACAGGAGGAGATGGTGCATTTGAACAATGTGGATCGGCCCGGCTCCGATGTGGATGCATACGTGAATGGCTTGGATCGGATCCTCCGACTGAAGGTGTCTGGGGTGGGTTTTGCTTTTCGCATGTGTTCGGGGAGGAGAGCTCTGGGGAGGGCAATGTGGTCTAATGATTCTAATGATTAGTCTAATGCTCTTGACAGCGAAGGTGCAGAAGTCTTACTTGGAGTGTTGAAATTGGACTTTTGCTGTGATCACATGTACAGGCACATTGTGAGTGTAGACTTCTAGTTACCAACCAACCAAACACCTCACGCCAATCCATTTTGAACCGGAATAAGAACATTTGCGGTTTCGCAAAAAGTGGGAGATCTTGCCAACTGCAAGGAACACAGGAATACTTTTGGGGCACGAATTTGAACGCACCATGAACTCTTCTTTACTTCATTTCCACACTTCCAAGAGCCAAGTGAGCGAATGGGCAAAGCGGTCCTGAGTGAACTGGGCATGTGGTCCTGAGTGCATATTTGCTGCTGTGGGCCAGGCTGACTACATCGGAGACATTCGCTCCCGCGTAGATCTCTTCAAGGAACACTTGGCACAGGCCTGGGAGCTGTTGGAGTGAACAAGCTGAATGGGTGTACAGTGCGAAAGAAGCGTTGGTTCAACGATTGGAACACATGTCTGGTCCTGGCGCGATCAGAGAAGCAAGAAGAAAGAAGAAATAAGAAGGCGCAAGAAGAAGCGAGAAGAAGGAGAAGGAGAAGGAGAAGGAGAAGGAGAAGGAGAAGGAGAAGGGGAAGGAGAAGGAGAAGGGGAAGGAGAAGGAGAAGGAGAAGAAGAAGAAGAAGAACAATATAAAAAGAAGAAGAGCAAGAAGAATAAGAAGGAGAAGAATAAGACGAAGAAGAAGAAGGAGACGAAGAGGAAGAATGAAGACGAAGAGAAAACAAAAATAAAGAAGCTGATTAATATGATGATGAAGAAGATTAAGAAAAGAAGAAGATGAACGAAGAAGACGAAGAAGAAGAAGAAGAATAAGAAGAAGAAGAAGAAGAGGAAGAAGAAGAAGAAGAATAAGAATAATAATAAGAAGAAGAAGAAGAGGAAGAAGAAGAAGAAGAAGAGGAAGAAGAAGAAGAATACGAAGAATAAACAAACAAATACACAACAGAAACAGGGACAAGGCCAAACAGGCAGAATCTGATAGAATCTGCTTGTGTTTTGCACTTCATATTTTTTCATTGCCACGACTTCAGGAGGATGCCTTGTCACGGAAGTTCCAATCTCTGGCGTCATCATCTACATCTACGTGAGGCGCGACGACAAAGTCTCGGCGCGGCCCTGAGCGGCAGAGGCCGCAATACCCGACGATGTGCGGTGGCCACAATGGGGTGGCATGGATATGGACTCCCTGGACAAGGTTGCCACCAACCTAATAGCAATGGCCTCCAACCTAATTGACTCCATGGACAAGGTTTGAGTGTATAATTGATTGACTCAAAATGCTCACAGGCCACTATTTTGTCTGTGTACTCGTTCCCAAGTCCATGTCCAAAAAGCCCTGGGGGGAGCCGTGCTAGCACACGCCTGGCACAGACCTACCGGAACCCGGTATGTGGATGGATCGGCTGGCCGACATGTCAACATGCCAGTGACGACACAAACTGTTCATTCGAAGTATTTTGGGTTCCACAACTCCAAATTGGATCACACCTGAGACCATCCAAACTGGCGAGGACCAAGGACCACAGACTAATAGGAAGGGGCAGGGCCGGCAGGGTGCACGAAACCCTCCTGTAAATAGAACATGAGGTCCACCTCGACCGATACATGAAAACCCTATCACAGTGTATGATTGCATAGTACAAAAGAGGTATATACTAGTATGTAGTGAACTCAAACCACTGCGGGGTGATAAGGTCTACCTCAGAACTGATTATATATATATATATATAGTTGAAGAAGAATGAGTTTTGACCGCTCCTCAGATGTGGTTGAAGAAATGAATGCATCGTTTCTTGATGAGCGGTGGCCAACTGTTCTTTTGTGACTGGACGTTTGAAGCATAGGCCGCATTGGCTCCAAAGTAAGCTGCCTCATTGTCTTGGCAAAAGCTCAACAATGTGCCCAGTTCGAGGATCCGATGGACAGCTGCTCTCGAATTGCCGATTTGCTTTCACTGCCGAAACAGTGAATGGGGTTGCAATCTTCAGTTGCCTCACAGCTCTGAAGTCCAAAAAGTTCGGACATGGGCACATTCCCACATGCTCCAGAAAGGGTCCAAAGGCTAGAAAAGGACATCGGGGCCTTTTCCCTTTTTCTCAATTTCTTTGTGTGTGTTTCTGAGTGTATTCTTTGACACTAGGAACTCCGGAGAGCATTGAAAGGTTCTCTCAACTTCGCCTTGCTTACATTCGCAGCAGTTCTGGTCGGCTTGTTTTAGCGTGCCATAGGCAGTGGCCTTTGTAGGCCCGAAAGTTATCGTGTTTATATAAGCCTTTTTGGTCAGTTTGCATCATGAAATGGTCTCTTTTCCAGTGCCGTCATGGCGAGTTCGCTGGGCTGAACATGCCTCCAATCCCAGCGCTACCTGGCCCATTTTGGCTTAGCCTCACAAGGCACGTAGGTAGAGACAGAGGGCCGAAGGTTTCCACGCAGGAAGAGCGCGGGCGGTTACGGCACCTCTGAGGCGGATGCGCCGGGTGCGGATCTCCCCCCTTTTTGACATTGAAAGGTCTTGAAGACATTGACCAATTTTTTTGAAGTCACTTCATCAGGATTTTGCTCTGAAGTTAGTTTTGAGCAAAAATTTGCTCTTCTCACGGAGGGAGGCTATTGTTTGAACACCAGTTGGCATCAGTTGGCATCATGGATCCCTTTGGCATCAGTTGGGTCATCCTTTTGTCGCACAGGAGGCTGTGAGCCATGCAGCTGAGGCCCATTCTTTGCCCGACCGTTCAACGGTTTGTATTTTTAGCCCGCTCCTACTTAATTAAGTAGGCGCCTACTTAATTTCGGAAGCCAGCTACTAGCTACTTAAGCTACTACATGGATGCAGGTTAGCTCACGCTTCTCCCCCGCCTGAAAGAGGGGGGAGCTTCCTTGAACAAGTGCTTGCACCAATGATTTTTAGGCATACATCGAGCAGATCAAAGGAAGATCATGGAAGATAATCGTCTAGCAAATTTTGATATCCCCAACTTGCCACTTTGTGAAAGGATATGTATAAATGAAATGCCCGTTGCTTTGGATGTTCGCTTTCAAACCAAGAAACTACCTGCAGAGACAACCATTTTCCTTCCCAGCATCTCTCCGAGTGGACCGAATCAGGATTCCCTGTGGCCTGTCACATGGAGGTTTACGGTTAAGGGCTCCCCCAGAAACGAAAAGCCGTCATTTGGCACAACACAGTGTGAAATTGTCACCCCCGAAAAAGGATGAAAAAGCTCCAGAAATGCATTTGTTTACTTGTTGCTTGCATGTGATCCGCCCTTGCAGTCCAGTCAGAGATGTTCCCCTCATGATTGTCTGCTTCGCTGCTCATCACTGCCCCCTCTGCAGATATTTGAAGAATCTGAACCCTCCCATCGATGGCATGTCCAAGGCGGGGCTGCAGTGTTTTCACTGAACCAATTCGGATGAACTGCGGGGCAGCCGCTCTCTGCGCCCGGCAGAGTTGGACCTTTCGATGGGGCAGATGACTCCCCCCAAAAGATAGGAGCCTGAAGATTCTGCCCAATGTGTGTTGACCAGAATAGGAATCAGGAGAGGTAATTAGGGCTTTGGCAAAGTCTTCCGGTGACCGACCCTTGCCCATTTTGCTGTTCCACCTGGCCAGAAGGTGACGTCCATTTCATGGAGTAGCAATACTACAAGGCGGGATGCTGGCTATGCAGCAGTTTGAGAGACTCTTGTACAAGTTTAGTTCGATAAACACTCATGAGAAACAGCTCGTTCGCTCAACCTTTCTTGACATCGTGATGCACAAAACCATCGACCCGCGGCGGCGAAATCGGCAGAGCACAGGCTTGCCACTGTGGGAGCGGACAAAATTGTGCCCTAGTCGCACCAGCTGCGAATCAGTCGCCCCAGACAGTGACAGTGGGAGATTTGCATTCGCTGTGCAGCTGTGAGAGATTTGCTTACGATTCAACACGAAACGCTGCAACGGATCACACCTTGTCATCGTTGGCTGGTGGACAGCCTTTCGGAGTGAAAATTGTCAGACAATCGGTGCACTTCTGTTTTGAGACAGATCTGCTTGAGGTGCAACTTTTCGATGAGCAAGGCGATAAGCAGGACCGCTTCAGCACTAAGCCTGCAGACAAGGCGGCAAGAAGCCCTAGTGAAATGCGGTTGCCAGTTGATGAAGTATCAGGATGGGAGTGCGGAGACAACACGTATGGGCGTTTTCCCTTCTACTTAGCTAAGCAGATTTTCAGCTTGCTGATGCCTCTTAGAGAAATCACACGACTCGGACCACATTTTCATCACCTAGGCTGCTCGGACCTATGCGGTGAAGACCATCGAATTCTCTCCTGACGGCACAAAATTGGCCGTCGCGCAGAGTGACAACATTGTGCCCCTCAGAGCGGTTTCGGCAGCTGAATTTGTGAAGGTCTTCCCCCTTTCCTGACGAGTCAAAGTATGTTCCCAAGATAGTTAGTAAATTTCTTCTGTCGTTGCTATATTTGCAGGTTCGTGTGAACACCCGAGGGAGCCGGTCTCACAGATCCGGTCTCACAGATCCATGGAGAAGGAATTGTGAAATCCGCGGGCTAAGACATTGGGGCAAGCCAATAGTGGAGTATGGTATGTTGGTCAGTATCAATTTCAGATCGGGTACTCTTTCTATTCAGCCTGTCAAGCAAAGGCGTTTCCTGCCTTCGAAGTAGCCCATGTAGTCGGTATTTGTCTAGGATCCTGTTTCAATCCGCCATCCAAATCTTCTTGAAACAATTGCATGATTCGGTATCTCGACCTCCAAATGTCTTGGGAATCGTCTCTGTCTCTCTCTCTCTCTCTACATCTATATATCTATCTATTTGGACATATCTTATAGCCTGTGTTCTTCCATATCCTCTCATTTCAATCATGGACTTGGGTGGCCCAGCATTTCAGTTATTTGATCCGCTCAACGACCATAGCAGTTCCGCGTGAACTTCTGGCAGTCTTTCTCTCTTTTGGCTTTGAGCTACATGTTTTGTTCCTTCTGATTCTTCTGATTTCGAGGTTTGTCTACAAGCTTGGAACCGACTGGAAGGCACGACAATCATGGTCAAGACATGAACCAAGATGTGCCTTTCTGATTGAAGGGCTGGGTTGGCAACAAATGCTGATGACAGAATAAGGCTTCATGGTGACAACCTGTTGTAGTGGGCAACAGAGCATGTCTCTCTTTCTGATTGGATTTGGCTGTTTCAACATGTTTCAATTGCCAGGACAAGAAGTCCATCTGCAACAAGTTTCAGCAGACCTCCAGTATGACCTGTCTCAGCTGGCCTGCGGGTCATCCCAATGAGGCGGGCAAGAACGGATCAAGCACATCACACATGTATCAATGTATGATGTGGCTACTGTAGATTGGAGGTGGAGCGGACATAAATGGGGAGTGTTCAGAACTCATGGAGTCTTCAGAGGTACCCTTCTGAAGAGTGCTCAGAACATGTCTGAACATAGGCACCGGCACCACCTTTGACCACTATCAGCGTCAAATTTTGATTACTTGGTGATTGGATCAGGTCGTTTTTGGCCTTGCTGAAGGCAAGGTCAAGGTTGGTCAGCTCAAGTCCAACAAGGCCAGTCGGAGTCGGAATGAGTGGACGACTCGAAGACAATACCCCGTACTCCTCACAACGACATTTTTTCATTGCAAATCTTAAGTCTCTGTCTTCATGGCCGGAAACTCTTGTGCAGATGGTGTCTTGTTTCTGGAAGCTCTCTAAGCATGGGTCTTGCCATGATATGATATGACGTGATGATACAGAATGACGCATGATTCCAGTTTCATAGTCCAGAAAGTGTCCACTGTGCTTCCATGCTTCTCGGAAACTCCTGTGGACCCCCCTGAAAGACCTTAGGATACCGCCCCAGCAGGAGGAAGACGTGAGGCTCACACGGCGCCGCAGTCGTTCGACATGGGAGGCGGCCACCTTGTACTCCACGGACTCCTTCGTGGTCTCGATGTGCAGCGGCGGCCCGGCAGCATTTCCGTGGGAGAGAATTGTAAGGCTTAGAATGAAGGGGCAAAAGGCGACCGAAGTGATCCCATCTTTGGTGTTGGAGAAGAGGATTATGAACGGTGGCTTTGGCGATTTAACAGATTCCATGGCCGCCGTGTCTGACTGGGCCCCTTCTTGGATCTGGGGCCCCCTGCTCTTGGCCTGGCGGTGTAATCCCAAGAGCAGAATTCTAAGCACCAATAAAGTTAATAGATACAATAAATTCCAAGATATGAAGAGACCATAGGATACAAAGAATAAGATAAGAATTCCGCGGGGATGTCGACTGAATACACCGGCTGGTCGGCTGGTGCTGCTTGTCGCCACAGCTGGCTTGCGGATCCTGGAGGAGAAGAGGAGCTCATAAGACCATTGACAGACATGATCCAATGACCTGAAAAATCTCCCGGAAGGGGAAGCACTGTGTCCAGCAAGTGCAAGTATATTGAAGTGTCATCGTTTTCCACAAACACACGCCCACACCACCGCCTTGCATCCGAGTCATTTTGCACAAGACCAGTTCACTCCAAGAGATACTCGTTGGGCGGGGCACAGACTCTCGAGGGCACGTTGGCACGTCTCTCGAGGCCCGGACGGAAATTCCATCCTCAGCGGCCACATCGATGGCTCGATTTATCGGTTTCATTTTGAGACTGAAACTGCTGGGTGCTCAGTCTGTGAGACAAAGGGATGAGGCTCAGCTCAGCTGTGATGAGGCTCGGCTCTCTCAATGAGTTCGTTGCTTCAGGTCCCTCGCCCGACCACCACCAAGTTCGCGATGGTTCCGCAGGCGAGGGACCTGCACAGCACGCAGGTAGGTTGCTTGGTCGATTGCGTTTGGTTGACTGCCTCTCGTCGGTTGCTTGACTGGTGGCCTGGCCGGTGTGTTGGCTTCCGGGCACCGCTTTTTGCTGCCCTTGTGCTTTACCAAAGCAATGGTTGGTAATTGATACCGATTGATAAAACGATATTAATTACAAGAACCGACAAACATCGGCAAGACTGCAAGACCACTGTTGGAGGACTTGGCCATGCGCAAGCTTGTTTTCGCTGTTGGAGGGAATTTTCTGGAACTGATGGGTTTTCCTAAGATGAACTTTGACTTCCGACTCTGGTAGGAGTTGATCCACGCCTAACGTTGCCTGCCACTCTGGTAGACTCATGACGCACTGTAGCCCAACCTCCCGCTGCGCAGTGCGTGCCCTACGCACTCTCCTGGGGCTATGCGGGCATTTGCGCTGCGGGGAACGACCGAATGGTGCGTTTCTGGGACTCTGAGGCTGGGCTGCACAATCATGTGATCTGCTGTGTGCTAGTGGATCTTTGTTGTCCAGGACAATCAGACGAGTTTCTTGGCAGGTTATGGATGACTCAATCTTAATCTTACAGGAATTCATAATTTGGATGTATTGTAGCAAGGTCTCTTTCTTGCACATCCACGCTCCATGCCTGCAGTCATCGTGTGCAGGGCAGGGAAGGCCAGACCTTCGATTACAGTACTGACTCCAAAATCAAGGACTGAACGACCAAGCCGCAGGGCACGAGATGAACGAGCCAGGGCTTGGCATGACAGTTGCATGAAAGCTGCACCAAACGTACTCTAGTTGAATGTCTTCACACTTATTTGAGAGCTAAGCTGTGCACTGCTTGTTGGCCATTGAAAGAAATCAAATTGTCAAATACTCAATACAATATAGGTATCATTTTGCAGTCATCTCCTGAGAATTAACCTAGAGTCCAAATGCCAATTTTTCCTCCGTAAACAGTCATCTCCTTGGGTCCTTCAACCGTTTTTGACCAGAGAATGCAGCTGCAGCAGCGTCACGCAGCGCCTGGTTGGTTGTAGGAGTTTACCTGTGCTGCCTTCAATCCCTCTGGGGAGTCCGTGGTGCTTGGGAACTACAATCGCTTCTTAGCACCTCGGTGGACGGCGATGCGCTGTTCGGTTCCATGGATCGATGGGGGCTTCAGGGATTCTCATGTTATTCTTGGCCACATTCTTACTTTCTTGAGCTTCTGAGATCACTTTGTTTTGGACATCTCAGGTGTTTGCATGGCATCCCAAGCGGAGCGAATGGGCAGAGGTGGTCCAACGAGAGGTGCCCGATCAATGCTTGTTCGGGGTGTTCCAGTTTAGTCACTTTGGTCGTACAAATCACATTTTACAACTATTGTTCAGCAATGTTCAGCAATTACTTATCACACCTGGGCCTGGGTATCATTCTGGCCATTGGACCGACATGCGTGAGACCTTTCTTCACTTCCAGGACATGACACTTCTTTCTAAGTTCGGTCACTTCATCCAGGTTGTCTTCATCACGCTTCCAACTTCTGTGGCAAAATCCTGTTTAGTATGGCTACAATCAAGCTGCTTTCGCCTTCTGACTCGTTCTTGCTCTCTGTGCAGCCAGGTGCCCAACCTCTACTCGGTCACAGCGCTGACGTGGCGTGCCGATGGCTCACGCCTGATCGTTGGATCCCTCTGTGGTGGAGTGGACATGTTCGACGTTTGCATCCGCCGGTCGCGTTGGGGCGCCCAGTGGGGACAGAAGCGGATCTTCTGCAGGATGAAGAAGTTCGTCCGACAGGTGAGTTTTGCAAGACCGTCCTACCATGAAAGATGGACGGCTGGAGCTTGCTTCGCTGCTTCGCTCTTGCTTCGCTTGCGCTCTTTCGCTCAGGTTACCGTGGCACTCATGAGTTCACTTACGTCTCCTTGAGCCAAGTGATTGTGAAGAGCATCGCCACGGGGCATCGCATCGTGTTGAAGAGCAACGTGGGCTTCGAGATTCAGAAGATCAACATCTTCCAGGTGCAGTGGTGCGAGCCAGATGATGAAGCCCCACTGAACCAAACACCAAGGGATACCAGGCTACCACCTCGGCTACATTGTTTTGCACCTTTTTTCTTCTGCAGGTTTTTGCGGGGTCGCACAAGTGACCAATGGCTCTTACGGGCTACCAATGGCATGCTTCGCCCACCGTCCCTTCTAGCAGGACCGGTTCTTGGTGGCCAATACGCCCGAGAGCATCTTGCTCGGAGATTTGCAGACTTGCCCCGGGGCCCAGCAGAGCCGATACCGCAGGAACTCATTCGGACTCGGTCCTTTCGAAGTGTTGGACTCACGGTCGACCTCGAAGCTACCCCCCTCAATGCGAGACGACGAGATGGTGCTTCTCCAGCTCATGCAGTTTCGAAGGCCTCAGAGCAGGCCTCGTAGGCTGTGTGAGGTAGGGTCGTGGGAAGTGACGGTACGTTTGCCACCTGAGCCCTTCAGACCATGCTAGACCCTCTCAAGCACAGACTTTGATTGATGATGTTTTATGTTTTGCAATTTTTGTTGTTGTTCAAAGAGAATATGATGTGACCGTGACTCTGACTGTGAGGCAGACTATCTGAGATTCCTTGGCACTCGAGCGGCCCGGGCTCCTACTGCAGTCACAGCTACATGCGCTGCAATTCTTTCGCAAGTAGCAGATGAGGCGATTCAATCGATACCTTTGATTCATGCATGCAAATTGCAGCTAGCCTACCTACAGCTTCAACACTTGCAGCCTTGAAGATTGAAACAGCTTCAAGCAGACCCTTTTTCCCCGAGGCACTGAGAAGTTCTTCTTTGACAATCCGACTGTGTGCATGATCTTCAAGGCACCCACCAACAGCTGCGGTATTCTTGTGTCGATCGATCACAGGCACCGGCAGCCGTTTTGTGTTAAGAACATGGCCGCTGTGGCCTGAAAGGATGTCTTCTGCAAAAGATCGTCCTTAGAATCATCTGGATCAATCATTGAAAGTTCAGGTTCCCAAGAAGGTTATACTGGTTCTTCTACTGGCGTCAAACGAGGAACGACCCAAACTAGAGCATTCACGCACGCACGCACGTTGATAGAGTTTTGAGTGAAGAACTATCTCCAAAACAGTATGGAGATTGGCGCAAGAACTTCAGGAACACACAAATCCCACTGTCATCCCATCCTTCCATTGGCATCTCAGGCTGGTGAGCTCTCAGTGGTGGAGTATGGCTGCAATGAGCTTTTAGCTTGTGCCGGGCACCCTAGCAGTGGAGTGTCAGCCGATTTCCTCAAAGTGCAGTGAAGAAACTCACTAAACAGCACCTTTGCCAGTACAGGAAGATGACCCCCTTGTCAAGTCTTCAATGTTTTTTTTCTTCCTTTCGTGACTTGATAAGCAAGTGGGTCTGAAACTATTCGCATGTGGGGGCCTTCTCCAGTTTATGCTATGCTTTTGTCACAAACACTGTACTGTACCATGTTTGGCATTGCAAAAGCAGGCACGATTGCCATGACATTATTGTGATTTGGAATCTATAATAATCTTCAAGTCAACGCTGTAGTTTTGCTCTCATTAAAAACCTTTTGATAAACAGGAAGTCGTAGTCCAAACATGAGGGCAAAAGGAATGTGAGACCATCCATACTCTCGCTGAAAACTCAGTTTGTATTAAGCGAGTTTTCAAAAAGGGCAAGCTGAGATGTAATATTTACCCAAGATTTGACGCACATCCAGTACTGTTTTCCAACAAGAGAACTGTACACGGAACTACATCTTGCGTCAACCTATCTTATTTGTTTGGCCAAGCAACCTAGTATCCAAACGGGAGTTCTGAAAGCATAAGACATTGCTGCCTCCAGCCTGCAGATCCTACAGCCGCTTGCGCCAAGGCCCGAACGGAGTTTATGTCCCCTCATCTCATAAGCCCTGCTCCCAGTTTGGCAGTGCCTGAATGTGGTTGAGGACGTGCTCACTCAGTGTTTAGAGGGCGATTCATATAGTTGGCTGCAGAAAGTAAGTTCGAGCGTGGAGAAGCTCCAGTTGTATACAGTTCCGAGGAGCTGTTGCCCTGTCGGATAAAGGAGGCCTAACGGCATAACACGTGTTTTCATGAGTAATTTTGGACACATCTCAACACATGTTGTAACCAGGTCGGAGGAACTGCAAGAGCCTTGCGAACTTTGAGCCTTGAGAAGATTCAACGGCTCAACTTGGTCAAAGCGGGGTATGCAGAGACCAGGACCTTTCAATTGGGGTTTGTTTCTTAGGCGTCCGCATCAACACTCCGGACGAGAACGATGTCTATGCTCCAGCCATGGGAGAGCTGAAGGCAAAGCTGAAACCTGGTCAGAAAGGGAGTCATTATGAGCTATTGGAAACAATAAGCTACTAGGAACAAGTGCATCGCTAGTAGTAACAAGTGCCTTACTAGTAGTAACAAGAAGCTATTAGAAACAATAAGCTACTAGGATTTCTTTGCGTGAGCAGTGCCTGCAACAGCCGTGGTTCGTGCTGAAGATGTCCTGCAACCGACCGAAGCGCGAGGGAACCGTGCCGTGCAGGTGATCGCATACCTTTTGGATCTCATGACCATTCGAGTGGTTGATCTGGCCCGGGCTTCCCAGAACTAGTGCGCCACGCTGGACAGAAGAAGACCGAAGACATGAGGCGATCAGTGGGAGGTGCAAAGGTTTTTCAGGAGATGGTTCTTTGAACACGTATCTCATTTCATGATGTAGATTTGACAGAAACGAACGCGCATGGTCCTTTTCTAGAGGTTTTCAACTTCAGGAAAGTGTTGGTGAACTCATGAAATTGCTGTTAAAGTTGGATGACAGCTGTTGTCGTTTCGCTCATGTTGCTCAGGTGACCAATACTACGCTGGCCACCATCTCCCACGACACCCGCATCGATTGGTTGGTCCGGCAACCAAGCTCATGGCGAGACTGCACAGCTGTTGGTTGTTCCAGCTTCGGGAGTCAGCTTTTTGAGCAACATTTGTGCCAGAACCTACTTTTTGAGCAGCTTCCGAATTGCGTGGGAGAGCAGCTTTTTGAGCTATAAAAACATAGGCCCTGGCCCTGACACACAGGACCAGGAGGGCCGTGTTTCTATGCTCCCAAGGAGCTGAATCCGAATGGTGCCAATCGTTTGGGGAGCCTAGCTGGAGTAGCCGAGAGATCATGCGCTTCAGTTTTTGAGGGAGATTGTTTGGAGTTGGTCATAGTTTCTGTGCAATCTGTACTCTGTACATCATTCATCATTGTTCAACCAATCACTGCTGCAATGACCAGGTATATAGGGTTGTCTGCCCAGACCAAGATTGTTAATTTGACATGGATCTGAGAAGGAGAGTAGGCTTTCAAAGCACAGCTTCGGCTTCAAATTCAAACAGGAACCACGAGTCCAGCATTTCTCTGCATTTGTTTCTGTGATTCACCAAGTTCTGCCCACACACCGCCCAAGCTGGATAGCTACGAGCACAGCTACCAAACATGGGGGCACGCACCGGGGCAACCGGCTCTTAAGGGCTCCAGCTATTCACACGCACTCCCCCCACTCTGCAGCTCAAGCATGCAGTGTGCAATGTGTGCAATCTGGCAGAGGCCGTTGGGCTTGAGCCACCGCACCAACTGTTAGGCGCCTCACCAAACTTCATGCTAAACTTCTCGCTGATGAACTGCACCGGCCCCCCGCTTTCTGAGACCACACCATCCCCCGCTTTTTGAGGCAAAGACTCACCCTCCAACTTCTTTGTCGAACAGGCCCTGAATCTCCCAGCTTCACCACACATGCAAGAAGCATCCCAGCGGACATCAAAGCCGCGCAATGGCCACATTTGGGCTCATAACCTGTGATTCACCAAGTTCTGCCCACACACCGCCCAAGCTGGATAGCTACGAGCACAGCTACCAAACATGGGGGCACGCACCGGGGCAACCGGCTCTTAAGGGCTCCAGCTATTCACACGCAGTTTCTATTTCTTGCTTCATTTGCTAGTATTGCTAGCAATACCATTTTCTCATGAACCAATGAGGCCTCATTTTCCGAGACAAGCGCCGGCAGCTTTACCTTTACGACATTGAGCAGCAGAGCAGGGTGGGTGGCAGTTGTGACATGTAAAAAACGGCTGTTTCATCAACCCTCTTTAATCATTTTAAATCCATCTCTTCAGGCCTCCCTGGCTCAACCAGAATGAGTAGGTTTCATCCGTTGTCGGTCGTGCCTCTGCACTTGGTGCCTTCATTTTTCAGGATTCGTCGCATGAGCATTCCTGGCAGGTGACACTGCTCAACTACTGCAACTACGTGCAGTGGGTGCCAGATAGCGACGTGGTTGTGGCGCAGAATCGAGGCTCTCCCACAAGCTCCGCTGAAGAGATTAGTTGGATGTGTTCTGCATGAAGTGCTTCCACAAGAGTCCAACCTTTTGTGGTTTTTGTTGGAAGGGGAGAGAGGACAAGGGAGAAGAGGTTCCGCAGACACAAGCCGATGTCATTTGCAGCCACATCATTTGGAGGCCAGCTTTGTGTTTGGTACTCCATCAACGCGCCGGACCGGGTGACATTGCATGAGATCAAGGGTCACCGTGATGCAGTTCAAAAAGTTTTGCCTCTTTCTTTGCAACTTCTTCAAGCCAAGACCCGAAAGAAATCCGTAATACTAAATAGAGTATGTCCTTGGTCCTTGGTTTGTGGAAAGAAGCTGGCGACGAGTGCAAACACGAACTCATTCTTTGTTTTGCTGCCTTTGTTGTTTTCCTTTCACACACCGAGTTGCCCGTGATTCAAAGGTGACATCGAAGATATCGAGCGCTCCAATGGCCGCACATGTGTCATTGTGGACGAAGGTGTGAACATGGCCACAGCCTCACAGCCTGTGCTGTTACAGGCATGTTCGGACAAGCTGGGAGCTTTATTGAACTTGAAAGTTGATAGACAAAACTCAGAGTGAATATCCACACTATATCTATCTCGCACAGCAAAAGCCAACATTTGCCGGAGCCTTTTTTGCAATTACTGTAAGTACCAAGCTGAAGTCTGGAGTGTCAGTGCAAACCGTGATTTTGATAGTAAGTTCGACAAAGTGTGCTTTTGGCATTCAGAACTTGCACTTAGCACTTCCAAAACAAGATTGTTGATTGTCCTATATTGTAATTTTCATTTCAATTTTTGGCCGACTGTTCACATGGAGGTAGCCGGTGAGGATCCTGCGATTCAATCCTAAAGTTTCATGAAGAAAGGCGATGGGGCCACATACTGTGTTTTGGACACCCTATTCTCAACACAGGTCTGAGTGCACGCCTAGCATGCAAGACTGGCTCAGGTCGAGTACGAGCTGGATGAAGGCCTTATCTCCTTTGGTTCATGCCTCGAACGAGGCCAATATGCAAAGGTGCGCAAGGGCAAAGGACACATTCACATCAACTGGCAACTTTGGAAGAAGTATGTCACGATTCTTTCAACGTGTGAAGACTTGCTATTGGGGTTTGGCAGCAATTTCCGAAGCACCCGGAGCAAACCACCCTTCTTGAAAAGATCACAAAGGCTCCAGGCTGATTGCTGGATTTTCATCGATTCGCGGTAGGAGCGTGTTTAGTCTCTTGCTTAATTGAGTAGGCGCCTACTTAATTAACTCAGGAGGCAGGGCCACGAACTTTAAAAGCAAAAATGTGGCGGATAGGTTCCCCAGGCGGTTGACGGTGACGCCAGGCTGTTGACCTCCTGGAGGAGAGCGTTGCAGCTGGGGCGTCGCGTCGCTGTCGAGAACCCCTGGATGAGGTGATGGTCCCGACGGTCCAAGCATCGCAAGGCTTGGAGACTTGCTTAGGGACAAGGCGTGGACATGAACACCCAAGGCTTCAAGCATGACGAACTGCAAGCTGCTTTTGGGCCTTGGGGACTGGACAAAGACGGCCTTGGGGCTTGGAGCCCTTAGAGCAGCGAAGCAAACACAGAAACAGCTTTGGAGATCTTTGGAGGGTGACGATCAAGGCCTTTCTTGATAAGCGGGGAGGTCCCGTTGACAGACGACAAGGTGACAGGTGGAGCAAAAATGAAGGACCGAGACAGACAAGAGGCATGAAGAATTTTCACCTATTTGTTCGACGAGCGTGACGAGCATTACGAGCACCCCAAAACTTCGACCATTCTTTGCCAGTGTGTTTTGTTGAGAATCCATGGATGTTCGGCCAAGACGAAAAAGGGAACGCTTGGCCAATTTCGTTACTAAGTACTTGACAGTTTCCTCAGCAGGAGCTGCCACTGACACCGGAGACTGAAGCGATGTGGCGTTCTTTGGCCGATGCTTCAATGGAGCCGGGGAAGGGTAGACAGCTGGTCGTTCTTGTGTTCTTTGTTTTGGGTGGAAGAAAATCATCAGCTGCTCCCGAGAAAGCCAGCTGCTTAGAACAGCTGGAAGTCCTTGAGCCTGTATGACCTCTGGTACCAGCAAGCCAACCAAATGATTGTGTCCAAGAGATGATGGTATGATCGGAAGACGTGAAGGAAGACTTTCCTTCTCTTTTCTTCTCCAACCAAAACAAGAGCAACCGTTTTGAGGTCCAAGTCCAAGTTTTGCCCCAAGAAGACTCGGTACGCCGGTCGCTCCGCCAAACTCGGCGGCCAGGAGCACTTCAATTTGCCGGTGGCCGAACGCTGCTATGCGGTCCTGGGAGATGTGGCTAAGAGTCGATATCTTCATAAGGCAGGGCGATGTGAGGCTCCGCAGACCGTGCGAAACGACCATGCTCAGACCAGGTGCGTGGGCAGGGTGTGCAGTGCGTGCAGGGTGTGTGTGTGTGTGTGTGCGCGCCGTGCTTTGAAAAAGGTCAATCGACTGATTCAAGACCATGCTGCAGAAGTTGGCGGTGATGGCTCCAACTTCTACATGGCGCAGGTGTGGTATGTGAGTGGACGTTTTTTTGGCGGCAGGATGTTACTTATCCAAAAATCCACGTGAGCTTTTACTACTCGCTAGATAAGCATACCACGGCTTACCACCCCGAGGCAAAACGTATTTTTGTTGTTTGGGTTCTCCAGTGTCACACATCGTTTTCCATCTCAGGCGAAAATGGCGATGCTGGCGAAGCAGTTTCAACGAGCTGAGGAGTGAAGTGCTTGGGGATTCGGAGCGGGGAGTGCTGGTATTTGGCATACCTGATGCGTCCGTACTGGTTTCTTGTCATCGATTTAGGTTTCTTGTAGTGGCTTTGATTGATATTCTTTAGATACCCATTTCCACAGCCTTTCGCTCCCACCACGCATGCTTCATGGATCTTCATGGCTTCAGAGGCTTCAGAGCGTGCCAGGCCATTTTGTTGGACCACAATGAGCTGGATGAAGCTTTGGCCATGTACCAGGAGACGCCTTGACTGCACTGGAACGACTGTCGAGCTCATCAGAGTGAATGAGGCTTTACTGACATTTCAAGCTTGCAAGTTTGGATGACAAACATTCTGGACCATACCAGGTACCCTGGATCCACCCTCTCCCATCAAGCAGAATCTCAGCTGTGTGAAGCGACGCACGGTTGTCGATGAACTTGTTCGATGATCCTGGTTGTCCCTTCCAGGAGCTTCACAAGTATGATGAGTCCATCAGATTGGCAGAGCGAAAGAACCATCCAAAGGCGGAGATTGAAGGTTTGGTCTTTGGGAATCGAACTCGATCTCACAAAATAAGATCAGTTTGATTTCAGCAATCAAGCTCCGATTTCCGCACATTGATGTTGCAAACCCATTTTGAGGAGCAACTAGTTCCCTGACCAGGTATCTCACTTGAAGAACTTCTACCTGCAGTGGCTTTTGTCTACGCAGCAGGAGGAGTGACGAGTCAAGCTCCCACCACAGCTGTTGGTTGCTTGTGGACGCCACGAATTCTTGCGCTTCCCTGATTCAAGATATTCTCCATGAACAAGCGCACATGGGAAGATGCCTGACAAGTCTTTGGCCATCTATTTCCAGATATATACACCTTTCTTCACCAGACTCAAGACAAACCCATTGTGAAGCAACCCCCTTTTCGACTCCAGGAGAAGGCCGGAGAGCTGCAGGAGATTGAAGGCGACTTTGTCAGGTGCCCACAGCGGGACAGGATTTGAACACAATACTGGTGTAGATCTCAGAGTTGATTCTACAATCTTATCGCATTCGATCAATTGTTCGATTCTTCCCATTGTTCGTATCATTTCACATCTTCAAGATCGCTTTCTGTGCACTTGCGCCTTCTTGGCGCCTTCTGGGGGAAGTGCAAGAATCGAAAGCCTGAGCAAGTGAAGATCATCGCAACCTGGAGTTGGCTCAGATGGCCTTAGTGTTTCTACACCCCGGCTCTGGGTCCTCGGGCCCCTCCCGGGCTAGAGCAGCGCATGCTGGCACATCACCTCTTGTCTCTGGCCGGAATCCTAGTGTGGAAGAAGCAATCGACTCAGGTTGACAAGTGTCAAGAGAGAGGTGAATTGCAGCTTCACTCAATTTGAATTGAACGATGTAGCTAGGTGACAGCCTTTGTGTTCCTTCCAGCAAGTCCTTTCATTTTTGGAAGCAGATCAACTGCCCAAAGGTGTGCAAAAGCAAATGGCATCACTCACAGTGGCTGGACACACTCCCAGGCCCCACTCCCTGTGCGACAAGTGCGAAGGAGAGCAGAGCTTCAACCCCAGGTGAAGGAGATTTCTTACACAGGACGATCGATCATCAAACAGAGTAGCAGTATGAGTGACAGCACGTATGGGATCACAGACCTTATAAATTATAAGTATATAGAAATATCACTTTTAAGCTGGCAACCTGGTCAGGTGGCAACATCGGGGATCGGGTGCTTATTGACCAATGTTACCAGGTAGCTCAATAGCACCCGGTGCGCATGGTAGCTCATCTCACCAAAACCTTCGGGTTGGTAGTCACCAGAGTTGGTACATTGGTCGCTTCTTCCCTTTCTCAATGTCTTTCTCCATTGTTCTTCTATGCTGAGGTGGCTTTGTCCGCACTGGGTCTCCTAGCCGCTTGCCAGAGGCAGCTAAAGCGTTTGAGCGTGCCCTGCCGTTCTTTCAATGGAATTCAGCTAGTTCTGAAGTCCTACATTGGTTGACTTGCCATCTAGTGGTTGCCATGACACAGCTTTGAGTGATAGAGTCCTGTCTTGTCAGATGCCGAAGATGGACACATCTTCGGCGTGAATGGCGCGGCCAGCGCGTGTCGTGCCATGCGCAGGAGCGCTCGGCGATTTATCATGTAGTTCCTGTGGTGCGCCTTGCAATGCTAGCACGATTATGACTCTTTACACTTCCCCCAGAAAACGTTCTATGATGCTTTTGGCTCCCATATGAGGAGGACGATGAGAACGAAGACTACTTCGAAAGCACAGGCTTGCTGCTTGGAGTTCTTAGGGTTTGTTGGAAAGAGGGCTACATAAATGATCCTGATATATATATATATATGTATAGTTGAGAACAGTGCGTTGTTCTTACACAGGTCAGGAGGCGAAGGCAGCCTGATCTCTGTATCGTCCAAACTAAAAAAGAGTGTCGGAAGAATTTGACCTGAGGAGCAATCAGAATATTGGAATATGCAGTTTCATGCAGAGGGACAGGTTTACATTTGCTCTCTTCGTGGTTGCTCCTGTCAGCTGCCTGCTCGGTCGCTGAGGTGGAGGCAGCCAAAGCAGCAGTGCCCGCCAATCATTGCTACAGCCTTAGCTAGGCTTTGATCGAGAGGACACATCAACAAGGCTCAACAGATAATATTCGGAATTGGAGATGATTGTTATTTAAGAGTCAAGAACCATTGTAGATGGATATATATATGCTATGATGTGACACGTGAATTCGCAACGGTCGTTTTGTTTGCCTTCAAAAGTCGACCCATGCGAAGTTTCGATTCCTGCTGCTTAACTCATTTAAAGAGGTCGATGCCATCGGAAGCTTCACAGACCTTGACTCAGTCAGTCCAGAAGACTTGGTGCATGACTTGGTTTATTTGGAGTTCAATTATTGCCATTCCGGCTTTTCCGGTAGGATTGCTTAACGGCAGATGAAACGTATCACTTTCGACCTTTTTCCATAAGAGGTATATATCCAAAGATTTGGTTAATGTAGGAGACATCTTGCAAGGCTTATGACCCTTTGTAGCAAAGTATCTCAGGACACTTGGTGACACTCCTCACACAAACAGTAAACTCATGTAAACGAAACAACCGATGCGAGACTCCGTTCCCATGAGCCTTTTTCCTTGTAGGCTTGATGTTTTGTCACCGAGCGCGGATGAATTGGTGAACGTGGACGTGCCAAACCACTACTTGAACATCTCCAGGCCCTTGGGAATCGACCGTTGGGCGGCAATTGTTGTGGACAGAATCTTCTACACTAGTCATAGGCGAACTCTCGATCTTCCAATGACCTTTCCCAGAAGCTCTGATAGAGAACATGGTATCTTCTTCCTGTTTATTCGTTGTTGTCCACAAATCTTGGCACTTCTAAGAGGGTTTGGCAAATAGGGTTGGTGCCAGGCCGCCAGGCGAGATTGGGTTTGCCTCGTTCGATTTCCGAATTGCCAAGGTCAAGACCTACAAAAAGTGTCAGAGGCGGTGACGGACTTAGAAGTCGATGCAAGTTGTGTTTCGGAACCGCTTCTGCCCTGGTTCGCTCCATGCCTTAAGTCACACCCAGTAAAGCTGAAAGCTGGGAACTTGACCATGAGACCCCAGTCAATCCAAGAAGTGCAAACCTGCATGACTAGGGAGATACCTTTCCTGCACCGAGGGTGTTCTGTCAGGTTCCAATTTTTTGTCCAGCTGAGGTTTTCGGAATCGTATGGCTCATGAGTTAAAGTAAGGAACACCTCAGGGCTCCCGAAGCCCAAAACTACTTGAGCGCAACAAGCTTGCGTCAAGATAAAGGGATACCAATTATAAAGGGTATGTCTCCAAAATGGGGTCGCTGCAGGGAACCATGGTCGCTCATACCTGCAGGTCCCGTGCCGTTGGCCGCCGTTGGCCCTTAGGCCCTGCTCATGTGCATGGTCGCTCCAAGCGCTCCAAGCAGAAGGCTGATATCTAGTTGACATTCATCATTTCCTTTTTTCATGTGCTATTCTTTTTTTAAACAGATTCAAGGTTTAGAGTTTCTTGAAAGCTGCCACGGATTCCAGTCTTCCATGCATGGTGGGTGATTAGGCAGGGTCTGCAAAAACATTGCCCGAAAGCCACAGATCCGTTTCGTTTCTCGACAGGTCCAGTGGCGATTGAAGCAGGGCCCTCCTTTGGCGCACAAGAACTGGGACTTTCCGTCTCGTCTCCGGGTCTCTACGGGTATCGCTCGACCCTGAACATTGTGAAGTGGTGAAGTGGTGTGGTTGTGGAGAAGCAAGTGACAAAAACGGATTGGTACTTACTGGTAGATGTTTAATGGAAGACATTAGAACACGATTTCATGGCTTGAAACTATCCAAAGGGGTGAAAGACACAAATTCCTAGCAAACCTTCGCTTCAGGCCAAGCGTCGGCGCCTGGAGCAACCCACAGGTGCCGGGATCCTAGAGGCAAGTCCGAAAAGTGTGGGTACTCACCCGTGGCCCCTGTGGTGTGGCTCAAAAATGAAAGAGTGTGGCTCGACTTGGAGGCTAGAAGTGGTCTGAAGGACCCTAGCAATCGAGCATCCATAGTTCTTGCGCATCGGAAAAGGAGAATTACTTCCACCACCATACATCATGAGAGCTTTGCTCGGTGGAAGAGTCTGAGAATGTGACGGCAGTCAAGCATGCCTCAAGAGCTGTAGGTCCATATCATGCCAATGTAAATAAATAAATAAATAAATTATGACTATACTGTACTTATATATGCACATTACAAAAAAAACCATGTTTAAACCTGCATTTCTCGGAGCGGGAGCAGTAGGCAACCTACAACTGAAAGTGTATCGATTATATCATCAATTTGATAAAGGCAATTAACTGCCTGACCAGTAAGTTGACAACCTTCAACTCTTGAAAGTGCATCGGTCAGAGCGGGAGAAATCACCTAGCCAGTAGGCAACAACACTGAAAGTGTATAGCTTGTATCATCAATGGGATAAAAGCAATCATACGCCAAGCTGGTAAGTTGGCAACCTACAACTCCTGAAAGTGCATCGCTTGCATCATCAGTTGGACAAGAACAATCACTTACCTAACCAGTAGGACACGAAACAGTACGCTGCAAAGTGAGCGGTTCGGCTTTGTGTTTTGATTAGACAGTCGGATTCTCCTTGTCCGCTCCAGTTCTGGTCGTTCAGTCCAGGGAACATCAAGTCTTCGCTGCCGAGGTGGTTGTGAGACCAACGATGGAGCGAGTGCGGGAGGCGCTCTTCAATCAGGCTGGATGTGGTGACAGCAATGCGCAGTCACATCATTGCATGGGCACAGCTTGAGACAGAAGTCACAGTGACAGAGCGCGTTGGCACAGAAGCTTCAAGAAGTATGGGCCTCCATAAAACAATAAATCCCAATGACACAGCAATGGCACACTAGTGTCAAGAAGCATGAGAACTAAACACATTGTCTAGCACTTGGCAGACACAGACGTGAGGACGTGAGTCACACGTGAGTCACCGAATGAACACCTGAAACTGTGACACACTCCGCTTTTGAGGGGCCCACAAATTTGGATTTGTTCCTTTCTGGGGTCTGTCAGGAAAGCTCCACATATATATCACATATTGTTTTGGCACAGATGGTCTGTAGATCGCAATGCTTTCTTTTGGATTCTGGGCATGCGGCATGTGTAGCAACTAGCTTTGCTCCGCAAGGTGACCTCTATGCACTTGTTTGAAGACCGCTCTGTACGCGTGCTTGATCTTTTTGCAGGCCGGGACTGGAGGGCAAGCCATGAACATGTCCAAGAGGACTTGGCTGTGTAGCTGTGGGGCTGAATGTTTATACACTTTAATTGGGCATTGGGCATGTGTTTCTGAGGCGTCAAGTGGTTGTTGAAGACCAAAGGTTCCCCTGCACTCTTCAGTGACTCCCACTGGGGGGGCGGGCGTCCGGACCTTACGGATGCCCCAGGCACCGGTTCCTTGGGCATCGAAGCGCTGAGCCGTGG